CAACAACATTGTCCTTTTCAAAATAGTCATTGAAAGAGGTCATATAGAAATTGTTAATTGCATAGATGGGTGCAAGGTGACTTTGTACTATAAGCGCTAGACTGCAAACCACAAAGTAAGTGGTTCAAGCCCACCACTCACTCCATGGGAGAAAGATGAAGTTTTCTGTAACCGCAAAGATTCACAGCCTTGGAAACCTTATAGAGGGTTGCTATGAGTTGGAACCTACTCAACAGCAGTTAATAACATTTAATGCATGGAGTCCTAGTGTGGCACTATAGGATAAACACTGGACTGCTAATTTCAAGGTCTGCAGTTTTAACCCACCAACTTTTCCTCTGAAACCCTAAACAGTGTTTCTATGAGTCAGAATCAACTGGACGGCCCTTCACAATTTATTACATGTCTACCACAAGCCCAGAAACATTATTTATATTATTTCATTTTATCCTCAGAAGAGCCAAGTCCTTGAGACAATGTTATCTGATGTTGAGTAACACTTTGAAACTTGATGAAAATATCAAATCTGTAAGAGGCCAGGATTTCACTCATATTTTCCTAACTCCAAATCGCATGGCCTACGCCTCACAATGGTCCTGCCATAGGTCAAGTCTTTTTTTGAAATGCCTTTTCTGAATCTGTTTACACAGAAGAGCAGTACACAGGTGCTTCAAAAAGTTCATGGAAAAATACATTGTCATTCAAATACCTTTTTACATAAACTTTTTGAAACCCCTTCATATTTTGAAATTTCCTATTGTGTTACAACTCTACCTCAGGAAACCATTGATATTTTTTAAAAAGATGTTTTGAAAAATCAAGAGTCAATTGTAGTAACAAAGGTGAGCGATAAAGTTAAGTAATACTATTTTAGAAGAAAGAAAAATGAAAACCATTAGTTGCAACTCTAGTAATGAAATAAATTTTCTACATAGACACAAAAATATGATTATGCAGACTCCAAACTGGGCTCCAAATGTGTTGTAAGCTACATCAGTGGTACAACTGAAAAAAAGTTGTAAAGTGACTACTGTTTCACAGACAGTATCCCATGGATACTATACACACATGAATAAATAAATATTCTAAGTCTGTAACTTACTATATCTGGAAAGATGCTAGTATTTATATAACATGTGCCTGGTATAAGGTACAGTTGCTCCATCCAATGTAGAACACATAATAATGTTTAAAAATAGGTATTATTTTACTCATTTTTCAGTAATGCAGAAGTGGAAGACTGAAGATAATATGTTACCCAAGGTCATACAGTTAGGAAGGCTGAAGGCCCTGGAGTCTTATCTCAAATCAGAGCCCTTCAAATTCACTTGTCTTGATCTTCCATCTGTACATTTAAGTCTGTCTTTGACTCTTAAGTCAATGGCACATTGTTCCATTCATTGGGCATCTAACCTGCCAGTCCCCTCAGGTCTGTCAGTTTACTGTACTTTCAGGGCTTGTATGTTGCTGTGATGCTGGAATCTATGCCACTGGTGTTTCAAATGCTATCAGGGTCATCCATGGTGGACAGATTTCAGCAGATCTTCCAGACTAAGAACAGACTAGGAAGAAGAAATGGGTGGTCCATTTCTGAGAGATTGTTGTTGTTTTGTTGTTAGGTGCCATCAAGTAGGTACCAACCCATAGCAACCTTA